ACAGGGCAAGATACTGTTTAAAAAAAAAAAAAAAGAAAGAAAAAAAAAAGAAAAAGAAAACCTACCCAACTAATATTTGAATCCAATTATATGTTCTTTGTTTCTTTTGGTCATTGCCAAAAATATTGACTATAACAACATAACGATTCTGCAGAAGTGAAAGTAAGAAAAATAAATTTATAAAAACAGGCTGGGCACAGTGGCTCACGCCCGTAATCTCAGCCTTTGGGAAGCTAAGGTGGTAGATAACCTGAGGTCAGGAGTTTGAGACCAACCTGACCAACATGGTGAAACCCCGTCTCTACTAAAAATATAAAAAATTAGCCAGGTGTGGTGACGGGCGCCTCTAATTGCAGCTACTTAGGAGGCTGAGGTAGGAGAATCACTTGAACCCAGGAGGTGGAGGTTGCAGTGAGCTGAGATGGCACCATCGCATTCCAGCCTGGGCAACAAGAGCGAAACTCTCTTGAAAAAAAAAAAAAAAAAAAAAAACCGGGTGCCCTGGCTCAGGCCTGTAATCCCCAGCACTTTGGGAAGCCAAGGCGGGCAGATCACCTGAGGTTGGAAGTTCAAGACCAGCCCGACCAACATGGTAGAACCCCGTCTCTACTAAAATATAAAATTAGCCAGACATGGTGGTGCATGCCTGTAGTCCCAGCTACTTGGGAGGCTGAGGAGAGAATCACTTGAACCCGAGAGAAGGAGATTGTGGTGAGTTGAGATCACGCCATTGCACTCTAACCTGGGCAACAAGAGTGAATCTTCATCTCAAAAGAAAAAAAAAAGTTACAAAGATTACAAAAGCATATATGAATTATATATGTCTCTTTGTTTCATCCAGCCATCTGTAGCCCATTAACAGAATGCTCAGACATGGGCAATAATAATTAGATTCCATAATCTCAGATAGTTCAGTAACTTTCTGTTAGTAAAAGGCATCATTTTATTTATTTATTTGTTTGTTTATTTTGAGACAGTCTTGCTCTGTTGCCCAGGTTGGAGTGCAGTGGAACCATCTCAGCTCAGGGCAACCTCCACACCCCAGGTTTAAGAGATTCTTCTGCTTCAGCTTCCCAAGTAGCTGAGATTACAGGTGCACACCACCGCACTCAGCTAATTTTTGTATTTTAGTAGAAACGGAGTTTTGCCATGTCGGCCAGGGTGGTCTCAAACTCCTGACCTCAAGTGATCCGCCAACCTCAGCCTCCCAATGTGCTGGGATTATAGGCATGAGCCACCACACCTGGCAAAAGTCATAATTTTAAACACATTTTAGGCCTGGTGCAGTGTCTCTCATCTATAATCCCAACACTTTAAGAAGCCAACAAGGGAGAATCACTTGAGGCCAGTAGGTCAAGACCAGTCTGGACAATGTAGCAAACCCTGTCTCTACAAAAAATTTTAAAATTAGTTGGGTGTGGTGGAGTATGTCTGTAATCCCAGCTACTCAGGGGCTGAGGCAGGAGAATCAGTTGAGCCCAGGAGTTAGAGGCTACAGTAAGCTATGATCATGCCACTGCACCCCAACCTGAGTGACAGAGCCAGACCCTGCCTCTTAAAAAAAGAAGTTAACACATTCTATTTTGTTATCATAAAATGGCTTTTTAAAATTTTGGGGGGCGCTCTCTTCCCGCCACCCAAGATGCCAAAAGGAAAGAAGGCCAAGGGGAAGAAGGTGGCTCCGGCCCCTGCTGTCGTGAAGAAGCAGGAGGCTAATCCCCTGTTTGAGAAAAGGCCTAAGAATTTTGGCATTGGACAGGACATCCAGCCCAAAAGAGACCTCACCCGCTTTGTGAAATGGCCCCGCTATATCCGGTTGCAGCGGCAGAGAGCCATCCTCTATAAGCGGCTGAAAGTGCCTCCTGCAATTAACCAGTTCGCCCAGACCCTGGACCGCCAAACAGCTACTCAGCTGCTTAAGCTGGCCCACAAGTATAGACCAGAGACGAAGCAAGAGAAGAAGCAGAGGCTGTTGGCCCGGGGCCAAGAAGAAAGCAGCTGGCAAAGGGGACGTCCCCACTAAGAGACCACCTGTCCTTCGAGCAGGAGTTAACACTGTCACCACCAAGAAAGCTCAGCTGGTGGTGATTGCACACGACGTGGATTCCATTGAGCTGGTTGTCTTCTTGCCTGCCCTGTGTCGTAAAATGGGAGTCCCTTACTGCATTATCAAGGGGAAGACAAGACTGGGACGTCTAGTCCACAGGAAGACCTGTACCACTGTCGCCTTCACTCAGGTTAACTTGGAAGATAAAGGTGCTTTGGCTAAGCTGGTGGAAGCTATCCGCACCAACTACAATGACAGGTAGGATGAGATCCACCGTTACGGGGGAGGCAATGCCCTGGGTCCCAAATCTGTGGCTCGAATTGCCAAGCTCGAAAACGCAAAGGCTAAAGAACTTGCCACGAAACTGGGTTAAATGTACACTGTTGAGTTTTCTGTACCTAAAAATAATTAAAACAATACAAATTTTCCTTCAAAAAAAATTTTTTTTGTTTGGTTTAGTTTGGTGGGGGTTGGTTTAGTTTGTTTTTTTGTTTTAATTTTGAGACAGTCTTACTCTGTCACTCAGGCAGAAGTACAGGGCTCCACGGCACTCTGCTGACTGCAACTTCCATCTCCCGGGCTTCAGTGATTCTTGTGCCTCAGCCACTCAAGTAGCTGGGATTACAGCTAAATTTTGTATTTTTTGTAGAGACAGGGTTTCACCTTGTTGGCTAGGCTGGTCTCGAACTCTTGACCTCAAGTGATCTGCACACCTCGGCCTCCCAAAGTGCTGGGATTACAGGCATGAGCTACCTCTCTTGGCCCATTACAAAGTTATATTTATCAATTTAGAAAGAGAAATTATATTTTAACAGCTGTTAACTTGATTTATAGCATTTACATACTTGGAATGTGCCTCCATTTTTATGCTTGCCCTAAATGTTGGTGACCTAGAATGAATTAGGTGCCTGTTATTAACCCATCAGAATTAAAAGCATATTATCTGTCTGGCACATTTACTCACAACTGAAATCTCTGCAATCATTCAGAAATGAGAGAAGCCCTTTTCAAAAAGAAGGCCAGGTATGGTGGCTCATGCCCATAATCCCAGCACTTTGGGAAGTCAAGGCAGAAGGATCATTTGAGGCTGTGCTGTCAACGAAAATTTTAAAAATCAGCTGGGCATGGTGCTGTGCGCCTGTAGTCTCAGCTACTCAGGAGGCTGAGGCGAGAGGATTGCTGGAGCCCAGGATTTCAAGGTTACAGTGAGCTATGATCATACCACTGTATCCTAGCCTGGAGACAGGGTGAGACCCTGTCTCTAATAAATAATAATAATAAGTTAAAAAGAAACTATTGCTAAAAATTGTTCATTTATAATGCTGTCTTATGATAGGATGTCTCGGAGAGTAATACATAAACTAGAAACATCCCTTTGTAAAGTTATATGCAGAAAGATCGTACATCTCAAAGGAAGGAGAAAATGGCAGGGGAAAGAAAGTAGGTAAATTGAAGTAGACATCTCCACTGTTATTGAAAGGACCAGATCAATGCGAGTGTCAGACTTAATAGCTGGGGAAATGAGAAGAGAAATTGGCTCACTCTCAGAGACTTAGAAATACGCTGTGGACAAGCAGGTAAAAGTAGCAACTTGTTAAGAGAAAAAAATAGCAAAAGTACAAGGAAGAGGCAGGAGCAAGAATCAAGATTTGTTGCATCTGCTATGTGCCAGGCCCAGTGCTAAGCATGTAACATGCCTTAATGATACCTTCAGCTACACAACACGCCAGAGGTTTAATAGGATTTAGTATATGAAAGCTGTATGAAGGAGGCTACTTTTTTTTTTATTTTTATTTTTTAATTTATTTATTTTACTTTAGGTGCATACTATATCTGGCATTTCTCCCCATGTTATCCCTCCCTTCCCTCCCCACCCCCCCCACTGTCTCTCCCCTATCCTCCACAACTGCCCCCAGTGTGTGATGCTCCTCTGCCTGGGTCTACGTGTTCTCGTTGTTCAACACCCATCTCTGAGTGAGAATATACGGTGTTTGGCTTTCTGTTCTTGTGTCAGTTTGCTGAGAATGATGTTTTCCAGATTCATCCAAGTCCCTACAAAGGACATGAACTCATCGTTTGTTATGGCTGTGTAGCATTCCATGGTGTATATATACCACATTTTCTTTGTCCAGTCTATCATTGATGGGCATTTGGGTTGGTTCCAGGTCTTTGCTATTGTACACAGGGCTTGAAGGAGGCTACTTTAAACAGCCCCTAGTACCTGTCAGGCAAAGTTCAAAATTGTTAAAAAGGTAGCCAGGCGTGATTGTGATGGCTCACGCCTATAATCCCGGCACTTCGGGAGGCTGAGGCAGGCAGATCACCCGAGGTCAGGAGTTCGAGACCAGCCTGACCAACATGGAGAAACCCCGTCTCTACTAAAAATACAAAATTAGGCCAGGCACGGTGGCTCACGCCTGTAATCCCAGCACTTTGGGAGGCCGAGGCGGGCAGATCACCTGAGGTCAGAAGTTCGAGATCAGCCTGGCCGACATGGTGAAACCCCATCTTAAAAAAAAAAAAAAAATACAAAATTATCCAAGCATGGTGGTGCTTGCCTGTAATCCCAGCTACTCAGGAGGTTGATGCAGGACAATGGCTTGAACCTAGGAGGTGGAGGTTACAGTGATCTGAGATTGCGCTATTACACTCCAGCCTGGGCAACAAGAGCAAAACTCCATCTCAATAAAAAGGCACACACTACCTGTTAACTACCCCAGGCTCACCTTCCCTCCCTTGGCATAGTGCACTTCTCACTGCCTCCAGTACACCAGCCATTTCATGCCCTTGTGCCTTTATACATGCTATTCACATGGCCAGGGGTGCCTTAGTTCATTGGCAAACTCATGCATCCTTCAAACCCCAATTCAAATGTTACCTTCTCTGTGAAGTCTTCTCAAAATCTGCCAAGCCTAGCAACTCTTTCTTCTTTCTGCTCCTAGAAGTCCTTTCATAACATAAAGCATTTATCACTTGGCATTAAAATTGTTAGTTCCTATAACTATCTCCTCTAGACAGTAGCTCCTAGTGGGCAGTTCAATAGCCCAGCACTACACTAGTGCCAGGAACACATAGGGATGTAATGCTCACTAACCAAAGAATAGTTCAATGGCTGTTCATGGTGGTTCACATCTGTAATCCCAGCAACTTGGGAGGCTGATGCAGGAGGATCGCCTGTGGCCAGGAGTTCTAG